ATGTCAGGGCTCATCGCAGGCCATTTCATGCGTTGAATTTCTACCTCCTGTAGACACATCTAGCAACGTGTGGTCTCGCGTTAACTTGCATAAACAAAAAATCAGGCCCTATAAAATGGGAATATGGTACCATATGGTCTTGCAAAATGTCTCTAATGTAAGTGTTAGTGTTTAAAGATCGTCCCTGGAGAATAAAAAGCTGGGTTTTAAGTTTCTTATTCTGAAAAGATGACTACGTATTTTAAGAAAAATACACCAAATATAATCCCCGCCCACCCACCCTATTTCAATTATGATGATTTTTTTTTATCGTCACGAGCCAAAGGAACGGAATTTAATTGCAAAATCCTTATTATTTCTCTACAAGAAATTAGCATGTAAGACATACTATGTACATATATTAAGAAAAAATTAACGCCAAAGATTAAGCCTCACCCATAAGTGCCCTGATCTAAACAGTAATGAAGTTTTCATTCGTTGGCAGACCTAGGGGCGGAGACTAATTGCAAAATCCATATTTTCTAAAAAAAATTCACCAATTTAAACGTGTTTTAAGTTTCTAACAATACAATAAATCATCACAAGTGTGGTTTTTGTATATCTTTCCTTTTTTTCCGAATATACATGGTATTCTTTGAACACGATACTCAAAAAACGTGTTTTTTTTCTTGTAGAGAAATAAGTATTTTGCAGTTAAGCTCCGTCCCCTTGATTCACGGCGAATAAAAAAATGTATGACACTTGAGATAGGGCGGGTGGACGGGCTTACATTTTGCCTTTTTGTTTTAATATGTGTAGACTTCTTTTCACAGATGAAACTTGAAACATGTTTAAAATGAAAATATCGATTTTGCAATTGGGCTGCGCCCCATAGGGTAAATGTGTACAAGAGTACGCACTTAGTGTAAAACTGTCAATAACTTTTTAATTTTTTTGTATAGACAAATTTTATGATATGGGTTCGTCATATACATGTTTAGAGATCAGGTGTATTTAATTGTCCGTCCCAAGACCACTATATTTTAAGAGTAATTTCAAGTTTTGTCAAGATGTGTAAATGCGTGCTCTTAGACAGTTCATTGCACAAGAGTGCGCATTTGAACGCTTATGAGTGCGCATTACATTTTATGAAAAAATCTTTGTTTCTAAGGTGAAAATAAATGGGAATAAGTGACTACAGACTACACATAAAACGGGAGACCTATTTTTTTGTACGCTAGGGATCTTGAACAGTCGAGAAAACGTAAAAGCAGAGAGTCGATGGACGGACTCAATTACAACACGCTCAGGAAGTAACAATTAAAAAAAAAATCACCATAACCACCACCACACAACTTGAGAAGCAGTACAAAGTAGTAGAGTTAAATAATTCATTATCGTATGATATGTATCTCCAAGACTATTAGACTACGTATTGCAAGCAATGCGCACTCTTGTACATTTGTACATAACCTAATGTTTTCAAAGTTAAAAGCTTTTGATGGATATAAAGTATAAAACTGTTAGTGTATAACGAGACCTTAAAAGTTATAACTAATGAAAATTATTACTGTAAAATAAAAGAATTGGTACGTACCTTACAAAAAACTAAAACTATGAGCGGTAAAAATTACATCCACACAACGTGTGAACATAAAATCGTCAGTACGACCAAACTATAAACTATATTCAGGTCACTTTTGCACCTTTATCTCAGGTTTAGCATTAAATTCTGAATGGTATAACTTCATCTTACCCAGATGGCACTAATAAGCAGAAATCATCGGTGCGTACTCTTATACATATTCGCACTCTTGTACACATTTACCCTAATTGCATAATCGATATTTACTTGCAAAAATGTACTATTTTAACCATGTTCCAAGTTTGTTGTTGTGAAGAGACGGCTATGTATATTAAGAAAAAAGAGGCAGAATACAAGCCCCGCCCACCCGCCCTATCTCAATTGCAATGATTTTTTTATTCATCGTGAACCAAGAGGGCGGAGCTTAATTGCAAAATCCTTATTTCTGTACAAGAAGTAAAAGACATGTTTTTGAATATCGTGTTGTTGAAAGAATATTAAGAAAAAAACAAGCCAAAAATTAAGCCCGACCCATATTCATCCCAAGCTTAATTATGATTAATTTTTCATTCGTTGTCAGACCGAGGGGCGGAACCTAGTTGCAAAATCTATATTTACATACAAAAATTAACTATTTAAAACATATTTTCAGTTTCTTGTTGTTGAAATAGGTCTACACATAAAAAGGTAATATGTTGTTTCATTCGTTGTCAGATCGAAGGGTTTGTCGATGGATTGATTGTGATACTGTCAAATCAAAGTAACACAAACTGAGTCATAAGGCGTTTATACAAATATCCAGTTCTGCAAATAAAGTATCTCTACAAAATTTAAAAAAATTGAAGTGTGCCACTTTTTTGTAACTCAGTGTATTAGCGTAAAGTTACAAATATTCAAGTGTCCGGTTTTTTTTTTTTGTCTGGCAGTATATATGAAAAAAGTTTAGACTGATTAATTGTCCAACAAATTTCCAACACATAGGAAACATAATTAAGAAAACTGTCTGTATAAATTGTGCCAACAACGTATACATACCACAGGAAACTAAACATGAACAAGGATGTTGATTGAATTTTATACCAAGCCAAGAATTTTTGTAGTAAATTCCACAATTGTCGACAAGAAAACAGTATGAACGATTCTTTTTACAGTCTGGTTTGAAATCGAATAAACCTTTTATTATTAAGTAAATCTTTTGTAATAACTTATTAGTAGTCTCAGTCAAATTTTAAATTGTCGTGGACAAAAAACGTCAAAATGATGGAAGAATTTATGAAATAAATCTGATAACAAACACATTAAACGAACATGCAACAAATCTTAGGGATATTGTGACACCAATTTTAAAAATAACGGACTAGAATAATTCGAAAAGAAGTATAATATGGGTTTTCAATTAAAAATATCATCAACTTGACGTGGATTTTTTGGAAATATTGTGAAGTATATCTAGAAGAAATCTAAAACTTAATCGATGACAACTAACAACACGGAATGGCACAGTTCTAACCTCACTTTATCGTATAATAAAATTAATGCTTTTCAACAACTCTGTCAAAGGTCAATTGTATCAGGAAAACAACGCCAACTTGAAGACTTTTTCACGTGAACCCCATGGATAAAATAATGACGTATTGGGTACTACTACTTACCTAATATTAGTTAAGCTGAAAGTAACTCAAATTTTAGTGACTATAAAATGTCTAAATGCATTTTTGTGAATATATAATAGGTACATCTTTTGGTAGAATGAAAATATTTAAACCAGAAGTAACCAGTATAACAAGTAATAATTAAAAAACAAATTGAATCAAATATGAAACAGTGTATTTGTATTACGAAAACGAACACCTAACTGTAAAACGTTCACTGTTTAGTAGCTTGAACTATTGCTTTAAGAATTGTTAAATATTTTTGAAGTATTGAATCCTATTTTTTTGCTAATTTCGTATGATTTCCTCGTTTGCATAGTTCTTGAAAACTATGACAGTTGTTTTTTTTTTTCTAAATTGTCGATCTCTGAAATACCAAAGCTATACGATTGGGTTAAGGTCGGGCTGGGATGAACATTTCAACACTTGGATGCCGTCATCTCAAAATTTGCCCTATGCCTAATTTTTATAAAATAACATACTTATAGTTTATTAATGCACCCGTATTTTTTACCACAGATATTTAGATTTTTGGAAAAAAATCAAAATTGTAGGTACAAGAAAATTTGAAAAATTATTTTCAAAATTACCAAACCAATATCTTTGGCATTTTGTAAATGTTGCAGATATCCAATTTATCAGATTTACAATAATATCTGTATTATTCAAAATGCTATAAACTCGTGGTTGTTCAATTATTTATTTAAAATCTGAAAGAAACAAAATCCATCTTGATGGACCCGTTTTTTTATTTGTAGATAGAATATTTTGTAAAAGTTTAAAACTGTATAATAATTGCATACTTCAAATCAACATAAATAAATAACATGTTCATAATAGTTCCTCGGTGTGAAGGGATTAATAATATTGGCATTAAAAAATCTTCCGTTTTCCTCAATCTTTCCTTGTTTCATTAAATATTTGTAATACTGTACGAACAGACAAGAGTGACTGTTTTGTTAATTTTGTTAATAACGTAATGCAAGCTACATGGGGTATTATAAAATAATAATACCCTACTCATTTCTCGCCATTTTGAGTTTTGAAACATTAATTTGCAGCTAATGATGCAGATTAGTAGTAGTTACGAACTAAAAACTAATGTTAGCAGGAGAAACTCAGAAGATGTCACTTATTTTTCTATTATTTCAATTGTTAAAAAATTAAGTCGCGTGAGAAATTTTGGTAAAACCACCTAAAAATTAATTTATTGAAGTATATGCAATCAAAAAATCGCGTTAAATAGTAACAGATGTGCGTATTTAGTGAAATTAATAACAATCCATTAACAATTAAACAATGTTTGTAATTTGTCTTACACTTTCGTTCCATTAATTTGCAATGTTGGCTCAGTTTAAAGACACTACTGCTGAATTCGATACTCCGCTGGAAGTAACGTTATTCCACTTGTTTGCACACTATAATGTCTGCTAAACTTTTAGAAATTTAACACTCTTCTGCCTTCGGATGAAATTCGTTCTCAACCTTGGTCGGATACATTTTCAACTTAAGTGATAAACCCCCAATTTGGGGCAGATTTTAAAAGCTGGCGTAGGTAGAATATCTTCCCTAGATGTTATCGGTGTCAGAACATTTGTGCAAATCCGAGGAACGTCGCAAGTTTACACCAATTTCACGGTGGTTTGCATTTGGAAGCTCAGTCGGTTGGAAGTCTTTGTAAAGACTCTATAATGACCGTAACGTTTTTTTCCAAATTTCTTCGCAGAGCCGTCATCGGCCGGCTGTTTAATACTCGCACGATGAATATTTGAAAAATTACTTACTCATTAATTGATCTTGTTAGTGTGATGTCAACGAGGAATATTTAGTGCAGTATCTGCCGCCTTCTTACGTCAGGAAACGAAAGATTAAATAAAACAAACTAGAAATTGAAGCGGCCGTTTAAAAAAGGATCACTTCAATGCACCGAAGAGAATTCCGATGAACACTTCAACGTTTTTATCACATCGATTAACAAGCGAAACAACTATCATTAACGAGTATGCAAGATCGGAACTTTTTTTGCCATGAATGATTTGCACGAAGTTGCGTTCACAGGAGAAGACGGCGGTGAACTGAATTACCGCACAGCTACTCCGAAACGGCACTACTAAATCCAATATAATCATAATATAATGATAATACTCTTTACGGGATCCGTGGATTTACTAGCAGCTAACTAATCGTCTTATGTGTGAATTTTGCCTCTTTTTCTAATCCGATTCAAGCATTAGACCAAGCGGAACAACAGTCAGTCACATTCTGATGGTCAACTGAATGCTCCATCAGCGCTTGCCTGTAACAAAATGCTTACAACACATTTTTTAAGCCTACTGTCTGTGACTTAAACGTGCTAAAAGGTTAAATTGTGTGTAACATATTAAAATACATATATTGGTCTTCGAATTATTAATTTTTTCTTGATAGAATTAAATAACTTACACTACAATGGCCATACACCTACTTTTCAGATCTGTACTTAACATATGATACATATGATGCAGGTACGTCATTTTCCTTGATATAACACAAAACACGCTGATTAATGAGTAATTAAAAACTGTATTAAAATTTAATCAAATTCCTCGCAGAAAAGAGTATTAAATTTAACACTACGTAATTGATCAGATTTATGTCTCTGTCGAACTTCCAATCTTTTGAAAAAAAAAAAAAACTGGTGACTATAAGAATTGGGTTATCTTACGTTTGTGATATTTTGTTGTACTGCTTCTGGTTTCTATCTATTTTTGAAAAGTTTTTTGAAATTTTCTAAACTTACTTAACAGTTTTACAATGGAATGAATAACTAAATTTTAGTTAATGTCCTATAATAATTAATAAATTATTATTAATGTCGCACAAACTTTAGTTAGTGTGTTCATTTTAAATGGGATTTACTTATCCAGTTTTTGCAAATACATACAAGTTTTAGTTAGTGTTTAACCATTGTCCGCATACTACTAACGCACGTTTAAAATTTCGTAGCAGTGGTACTGATACCATATGATCGAAAAAAAAGTCGTTCAGCAAACTTTGAATGTCAAAATATTTTTTTTGGCAATAGCAAAAAAAGCTACGTCACTGCTTTATTTTCATTTTTCTCATAAAGTCTGAAGTGATATGAGACGACTGCAGTGTAACAAGCAATTTCAAGAAGTCGTGTTAATATAGGACCCCCCCTGGTCCGGAAATGGCCGGCATTGAGAAAAACGGGTACTAAGACAAAGGCGGGTATCTTAGATTTAGTTTAGATTTGTTGTTAAGTTTTTTATATTTTTGTAATTCTCGATATTAATTACTTGGTCTTGAATAGCAAACAAAAACTCTTGTGTTTCGGCACATAAAGTTGATCTTTTGAGCCAAGTCATTGACATTTTCTTGTTTCATCCAGCTCTTTGAAGAATTTTCCATGCAGTTGTTTTTGTTTCGGCCCACTTATTATGTTGTCTAGTTTGTGGGATGTGGGGATTTCTTCGATGCTGGAGGGATTTAAGGGTGTGTGGTTCAAGTCTGCCCTTGCTATGGTGCTAAATAGTTTTATTTCTATGTTCTGGAATCCCCTTTTCCGTTCTGTCTTGGTAATGAAAATCTCTCACTTGATGATTTCGGATAATGTCTTCTATTTTTCTTGTTGAAATGTTTAAATTTTCCAAATCAGTTTTTGACCATTTAATTATTCCAAAAGAATATGTGCAGTGGTACACAGAATATATTGACTATTTTCATTAAATTCGTTTCGTTTAACTGTGTCTTCAAAATTAATTTTAATCTTGCCAGATATTATTCTTTGAGCTTTATTTTAGTTTTGGTATGATCAATATGGGAAAACTGTTGAAAGCCCAGATATTTGTATGTTTCGTTTGGTTCTTGGGCTTCGATTATTTCATTATTCTGGGTTATAGATGGTGTTTGTTGTTGTACACCTTTTCTGATTGCTTGAATCTTACAGTTCTGACACCGAAGTTTATCCTAATGACACCGGAAAACTGTTTTTTTAGATTTATCAATAGATTTTTCGTACTTGTATATGTTTTAATATCATCCATATTCAGCAAGTGACTTAACCTACTTTCTGTTTTGGTGTTAATTCTTATACTGAAACCATATTAAGTGCAACTATTCAAGATGTCCGAAAGAGTATTTATTGCCAAACAGGACCATAGCGAACTGAGAAAATCGCTTTGAAAGATTTCTTTTCTGATTATTATTGGATCTGACTGAATTGTTTGATCATTTAAGGTTATTAAATTCCATTAGATATTTGAGAAGAGCACATATTTTTTTTTGCATCGCCACGAATGCGAGGCTGAATCATAAGCTTTCTTATAATCAATAAAAGCAATATATGTACACTTTAATATCTGTTCAGTTGTTGAGCAATAAATGATATTGTTAACACTAACAAAATAGTGGTAATATGAAGCACTGTAGAGTTTGTTAGTAAATAATTATCAAGTCTTTGTGTTCAGAAATTAAATACCTATTAGGTATACCCAATAGTCTGATATCATTGTCTAAGAATTAATGTACACGTAACAGTCTTTATAAAAACAAATTTTATAATTTCGGAGGCTTCCACGGTCGGAGTCAATACATGATCGTTTTCCGGGTTGGAACCGTGTTAATTGAGTTTTTGGGCTCAACGTTTCGCACACTTTCGTAAGTGGCATCTGCAGGACCACGGTAACTTAGTATGTCAACCATAGCAGAGGCGAAACTCTTCTAAAACTCAATTAACACGGTTCCAACCCGGAAAACGATCATGTAACAAATTTTATTGTGCAAAGTTATTTGGATTACGCCACCTCTGTGAGCTTGTTAAAATGTTTGCTTGGCTATTTTTTAAGATGACTTTTGATATGGCTTTTTCAACTGAACAGAGTTCAGAAAAACTAGATGTGCTACGTCTGATAGAATCGATAAAATCCGAAAGTCCATATAAAAATTTTTTATATAAGATCTTTAGCCGTACAAGAGAAATCGAGATAAATTTTCAGTAGATTTATTCACTATGTTTGAAACGACTTTTTGATAGGAATTAATAGATATACGATAGTTTCCAAAATTTCAGTGAGGTGAGTTATTTTTGAGGTAATATACACTCATGAAAAAAATATGAAAATTTTAAAATTCTCATAAATTTTTGAAATCCACCTCCATACTTATGTAAGCTCAAAATATATAAACAAAAAATATTCAATATTTTTGTCCATGTGTATATAAAATTAATCACATTATGCAATTACTTTTTTTAATCATCTGGAAACAAACTTTTCTAAAAAATAAAAAACATACTGCTGAAATACAAGTAGGTAATACTACATCCCATTTGACTGATTTTCCATAAATACTTATTTAATAATTGTTAAAGTAACGTCATCAACTCTCTGGAAGACTTAAATAATAAAATATTACTTGAATTTTCAAAATCTTCAAATCAAATTTTTTTTTTCCTTTAGTTTCGAAGAAGTTTTTGCACAAGGTGACAATAAATGTTTTACAACTAGTGGCTATAAAATCCATTTATTAATGTATTGCTTTATTTGACATTTACTAAATTAATTAATCTGTCCAATAGTTTTTCTATCAAATTTTAACGTTATTTATTTAAATCAATAGAATACGGAAACTTGTGGACTCTAGAAGAAGATAAATTTATTATCGGAGCCTAATTTCGGTTTAGCCAAGAAATTGAGTGGCAATACTCAACTTCTGCCGCCAAAATACTGTATTTTTCGAAAGCGGCAAATTTATTGGTCAAGTCGTTTTCACGGCCCCCTAGATGTAAATCATGCGTTAACACCCTGTATAATCTCTAAGATAAATTTGACTATCTTCGTAAACTTAAATTGACAATTGACATAAAGTTAAAAATATTTTTTGAGATGATGTAAAATGTTTTGGTTTATTTTGGTTAAAACTTTTCAAAATAATCCATTTCAGATACTAACTGTCGGAGAAAGGACAGACAACCGAATTATTAATAAAAAGCATGAAAAAGCATTAGTTTTTTTCACGAAAATTATTTAGAATTTTGAACAAAAAATGTTGATTTATCGACATTTCTTTTGTATCCTCACTAATCACTATGTTGCCCGCTTCACATGCCAAAAATACGATTAGCATACACTTTTGGGTCAATTTGTTGTTTACAGAAAACTTATCTCACTCTAGCAGTTAGTATTTTTCAACAAAAACTGGTTTGAAAAATTTTATTTAGGCCAACATAATTACCATTTTGCTGAGGATACATATAGGTACCACATAATCGAAAAGACTCTTCTGATAAGCCGTGCAATTTTTTCTTTTTTTTTTAAATTAAAAAAAAAAAGAAAAAATATATATAAAAAAATGTTGGCATTGCAGCTATTTGACCCTTTATTTGACAGTTAAGTATTTAACCGTATTTTTATTTTTTTCATCATATATTGATTTAAAGTTTAAGTTATTGTTAGCCAGTGTTAGTGCCTTAACAAAATCTAAAATAAATTCATTGTGTAGTTTCTGAAGAAAATTGTAAAATTTATTCCACGAATCATGCGCACGGAATGGATCATCATTACCATGAGCAGACAGAGGATCATGACGCACATTCCAAGTGACTTAACAAAGCTTTGAGATGACGGAATCGGATTTGTTTGTGGTTATTGTCTTGCCATCTAGGCGATAAATGCGAAGGTAACTTAAAATATCAAGGTAAACTGTTCGGTAGTTCCGAACAGTACGATCTCGTACATGACAGACGCGACAAGCAGGTAACTGAAACGATAAATATTTTCTTATATTTTATGAGCAATGAACAGCGAAGAATGTAAAAGAGGGCATTCTTCAACTGACCTTATTAAGTAAATAACATATA